ACGATCGAGGCTTATGTGTTGTACCGCACCTCTTGCACTGAAACTTCTTGTCCGCTTAATTGTCGCCAGTGTTTTCATTCTGGTCAAAAAATCGTCGAATGGCTCACTCTCGTTTTGTACCGCTTTGGAAAAGTTGAATCTTTCAAATGACACGTTCAATTTGGGGTTAAAATAGTTTGCAAATTTTTCTTTTATTACGCCAATGTTTTTTGACTCCTGTTCGGACAAACTGAAACTGTTGTATATATTTAACACCTCCGATCCTAGCTTGCCATTAACGTTGCTGCTTGAATTTCGTCTGATTTCTTATTCAGTTGGATAGCTGTTGCATACCAATCGAATTGCTGAATCCATTGCTTCCACGTGGTGTGCATGTCACTCGTAGAGGTTAGATTTTTTGCAGGTTTGATACCTGAGACTCCACCAGTCTCTACACCTGCGTCGTTTGTGCTATTCGGCATTTCTTTACTTTTTTTTTGTTTTACCCAATTCTTTTTAACTTTCTTTAAAATTATTTGACACCATGTAAGATCGGTTTAATAAAAAGACCACACGTTATGCTCAAGAAAATGGTATATTGTCTATATTCTGTTTTACTTCAGTGGTGGTGAGTTATTATCGATAATTACATTAGTGTCACCATACACTATACTACAACTAATTTAACAATAATGTCGGTTGGAAATATGGTATTTGTTAAAAATTTTTGTTATAAATTTGTATGGGGCGGTAGCCCCAGTTATATCACACAGAAAGGAGAATTCTACGTAGTAAGGATTTTAATCCCTAAGCGCGACCGAAGGCCGCCTACGCAGAAAGGTGTTCTCTGCAAAAGGTGTTCAGCCCCCCTTCTTCGGACGCAAGTTTAACTTTGTTTTTTCCTTGCAAAAAATCTAAAATTCCCCTATTTTCAAACAGCTCCCCAGAGGTCTGTGGGAGGGGTTGGGGTGGTGAGGGGTGACTTTTCATAAAGCGGCGTCAATCCTCTTTCGTTTAGGGGGGATACGTGGGGCCCACACCCCCTCCCCCTCCGCCCCCACCCCTAAATCGTTGTACAAATAGCTAAACATTTCCCATTCCTTTTTCATCTACGAGTGGTGGTGGACGTGTTTGGCGTGATTCTGCAACCTAGTGAAATTTTCTTTTGCGCACTTGCACATATATGTATGTGCATACAGTAAAATATTTTTCTCTTTGTAAGCAGCTGTACTCTGACATAGTACAGCAAACAGCCGTGTGGAAATACACGTTCCTTTTTGGACTACTACATTTTTGGCGTCAAATAATTGGAAAATAACCTGTTAAAAGGTTTTAATTTGATAGAGGACACCAATTTCTGTGTCAAAGCGGGAGTCAGGTGAGTGATCTTGTTTTTCGAGTAGTGAAGGTGAAGTCAAATTTTGTGTATAAAGTGTTTAAAAAAGTAAAAGTCTGCCGCGAACGGCACCAAAAAAATCCCCAGCCGTCATGGCGACGTCGACTCTAAGGTCGATGGCGTCATCGGCTGAGGATTTCGAAGCATTCTCTAGTGCCAATATGGTCAATACGGCCAAGGGAAAACGCTCCAAAAAGGCCACGGAGTCTAAGATAGCTAAATACCTAAAAAATAATGATTTAATTAAACTAACTAACATGAGTGTAACAAGTGAGGTTAGGTCAGATGACATTAGTGAAAACGAAATGGACATGCAGTGCGATAACGGGAGTTTGGCGGCTACGGAAATTCCGTTAGTGGCGTCAGAAAACGGTAGGGATACAGTGACGGTGCCTAACATTAATACAGTTGCCAATGAACGCTTAACGATGACCACTGATACAGTGGAGGTAGCAGACAATCGGACAAATGCTAATGAAAATGTATTCATGACTACTGATACAGTGGAGGCTAACAACAACAGTACAAACCTAAATGAGAATTTAACTCTATACCCAGAAAATTTTTCTGGTGTTTATTTGGTCTTAGTAGACTCATCTAAATGCAATGATATGTACAATGAAAAAATTACAAATGGTTTAACTCTCTTTAATAAAATAAAACGCCTGAGGATAAAAGATCTTGATTTGATCTATGCAATTGGTAAAAGTCTTTATAAAGTCACTTTTAAAAATGCCGCTGCGGCAAATAACTTTGTCTTGAATGATAAAATAAAGGACATGGGTCTAAGAGCCTTTGTTCCGAAAACAGCGGTTGAAACTTATGGTGTAGTAAGGGGTATTCCTACATGGTGTGAGGACGGTGATATTAAGGCTTACGCCATATCCAGCGTACCCATATCTATGGTTAGACGCTTCACGCGTAGAAACCCAGAAAATGATTCTTACATTCCCACAACCACCATCAAAATTGGCAAAGAGATTCCAAAATATATAATTTTTAACCATACTAAATTAAATGTTGATTTTTACATACCACCCCTCAGACAGTGCATGAACTGTGGGAGGTTAGGGCATACTCGCTTCTCATGTAAATCCAAAAAACGGTGCATCAAATGTGGTTTAGTGGCCTGTGACAGCAACTCTTGCAACAAAAAATGTATTCTATGCGGCAGTGTAGAATACGAATCCTCTGACAAAGTAAATTGCATGGTATGGGAAAAAGAACGTAATTTTAATTATATTAGAACGGTGAAAAACATATCGCGGCGGGAAACAATACAAACATATTTTGCGGGAAGTCAAAATCGTTTCGACCTTCTTCAGGTAGAAGATTCCGAATTCCCAGAGCTCACTGTAAACAATGGTAATGAAGTTCAAAACCGTGATTTAGTGACCAATAAAAAACTCACTCGAGTCAAATACAGCACTATGGCTAAAAAGTTGATTACACCAAAAAATGATAAACCTACAAAATCAATGCAAGGAAATAGTAGAGAAAACAGAACCAAAGTTGCCAGAGAAGCCGTTTTTAACAGGCCAGAATATTTAAAAAAAGCTTCTTACAGATCTTTTCAGCATCATACAAACTGCGTGTGTGAATAACCAACTAGGCGAAGTTACTAACAAAATTCAATCGCTAAAAGAAAAATTTGACCAGCAAATGATTCAAGAAGAGGTAGAAATAGTGACAAATAGTATTGATAACTCCTTTGACAGATGACTATGAAAATTTTACAATACAACTGTCAATCCCTTAAAGCTAATATAAACACAATTGAATATTATTTGAACAACCATGACTTCGACGTAGCGTGTCTTA